AGCGCAGGCCGCCGCCCACGTGGCTGCCCGGGTCCCTTGCGGGCGCGGTCTCTGAGCTGCAGCCGAGGGCGCTGGGGGTCCCGGATCCCCGCCCGCCCAGAGACTTGAGGTTGCCCAGTGTAAAACGGGCGAGGCGAGCCCGGGGCGCCGCGCCCCTCCCCTGCCCCGAGGAAGGGGCCGGTGGATTCCGGGGGAGGCGTCGGGACCCCAGCGGTGCGCTTTTCGGGCTAGGCAGGAAGCGATTACCCAGCTCCTCCGGAGACTAGTCTTTGCGTGTCACACTTCTTGGGAGCACTCTATTCTGGATGTGGAGCTCTACAAAGGGGTAATAGAGATTGGGTTTCTAAAGTGACCCCAATAAATTTCATTTGCCCTGGATGAAAACAGCTGTGCTCAGATGTATCTGGGAAGAGTGGATCAGGCCTTATTTTACTTAGCTGTACCACCACCATCTTCGGATGCTTTGAGTGTTAAATCCCATTCTGTATGTGTGTCTGTGTTTCTGTGTGTGTGTGTCTGTCTGTCTGTCTGTCTCCCTTCCTGTCTCCTGGGGCTTGAACTCAGGGCTTGGGCACTGTCCCTGAGCTTTATTTTTGCTCAAGGCTAGCACTCTACCACTTGAGCCACAGCACCATTTCCAGCTTTTTTTGTTTATGTGGTGCTAAGGAATCAAACCCAGGGCCTCATGCATGCAAGGCGAGCACTCTACTACTGAGCCACCTTCCCAGGGCCCCCCCCCTTTTTTTTTTTTACAGGTAAGACCACTGGTGCTTGGCTGGCAATGTTTTTTTATTGTAGAGAAAAAAACTTAGAAACCAAAAGTTTAAAGAATAACTCATTCTTTTTTTTTTTTGCAATAGGTGAAGGGAGAAGATGAGGAAGAGAATAATCTGGAAGTACGAGAAACCAAAATCAAGGGTAAAAGGTAATCTAACAAACAACTGTGTAAGAGGAATCACCAAGGCAGGACTGACCAGATATTTGGGATGGGGTAGAGTGAAGTATCAGAACATCGCTGAGGTTTCTGCAGTTGGTTTGATATTAGTGCTGTTAACAGTGGTAATATTAATCTGCATTCCAGAATTGGTTAGATGGTAGTGCTATGAATAGAGGAAGAGAATCAGGTTATGAAGGGTACTGGTTATGGGTAGTCATTGGAACTGACTAGTAAACATTCAGAAGCAGAATTCAGGGTGCTGGTGGTTCATACCTACTGGGGAGTCTGAGCTCTCAGGATTGTGGTTCCAAGCCAGCCTGGGCAGGAAAGTCTGTGAGGCTCCAATTAACTCCCAGAAAAACAGAAGTGGTGCTGTGACTCAAAGTGTTAAAGTTGCTAGCCTTGCACAAAACTTAGGGATAATGCCTAGGCCAAGTTCAAGCCCCATGAGTGACCAAAAAAAAACCCAAAACAAAAACACAAAGGTGGTACTGAGGTTTGAGCTAAGGTTGTCTTGCTCTGATTATTTGCTTGGTGGCGCTTTACCACTTGAGCTATGCCTTAAGCCAGCTTTTTGCTGGTTATTTGGAGATGGTCTTATGGGCTCCTGCTGTTGAGAACTTCAACTCAGTGCTGCATAAATAGAAAAGCTGGAAGTTGCATTAGTGGTTCAAGTAGTAGAGTGCTAGCCTTGAGCAAAAGAAGCCCAGGGACAGCGCCTAGGACCTGAGTTCAAGCTCCAAGACTGACCAAAAAAATAAAAAAGTGATCTTTTAAAGGTAGTCATCTTTAGCTGAGCACTGGTGGCTCATGCCTGTAATCCTAGTTACACAGAAGGCTGAGATCTGAGGATCTCCATTCAAAGCCAGTCCAGGCAGGAAATTGCCTATGAGACTCTTTTTTTTTTTTTATACTTTGCTTATGTAGTGCCGAGGAATCGAACCCAGGGCCTCAGGCATGCAAGGCAAGCGCTCTACCACTGAGCCATCTTCCCAGCCCCTGCCCATGAGACTCTTATCTCCAATAAACCACCAGAAAACTGGGAGTGGCGCTGTGGCTCAAGTGGTAGAGCGCTAGCCTTGAGCTGAAGAGCGGAGGGACAGTGCCCAGGCCCAGAGTTTGGGCCCCAAGACTGACAAAAAAAAAACAAAAAAACTTTTTTGTTTTGGGTCTAGAATTTTTCTGTGACTTTGAGCTACAAGCTTGTTAACCTTTTTTTTTGTTGTTGTTGTGGGGCTTGAATTCTGGGCCTGGGCGCTGTCCCTTTACCACTTGAGCCACAGCCCCACTTCTGGCTTTTTCTGTTTATGTGGTGCTAAGCAATCAAACCCAGGGCCTCATGTATGCAAGGCAAGCGCTCTACCACTGAGACCTTCCCAGTCCACTTGTTAACCTTTTAACCTAAACCTTTCTCAATTCTCTTGTTTCAGTGGAAGATTCTTCCTGGTCAAGCTCCCAGTTGCTCTGGATCCTGGGAGCAAGATTTCAGTCATCGTGGAAACAGTCTTCACCCATGTGCTTCAGCCCTATCCAACCCAGATAACACAGGCAGAGAAACAGTTTGTGGTTTTTGAGGGGAACCATTATTTCTACTCTCCCTACCCAACGAAGACCCAGACCACTCGCGTGAAGCTTGCTTCCCGAAACGTGGAGAGCTATACCAAGCTGGGGAACCCCACGCGCTCTGAAGACCTCCTGGATTATGGGCCTTTCAGAGATGTCCCTGCTTACAGTCAGGTGGGGCCAAGTGGCGTCCTGCAGAGTGACTCTTGGCTGATAGCCTGGGGTGGCTTGGGGTGGGCGGACATTTGAAGTGGAGTGTGTCTCGGGGTCCCTTCTCTTGGAGCACAGTGGCTAACTGCATGTGGGGATGGGGGTTGAGGGGGTGGAGGGGTGAGATGGGAGCTGGGTGGCTGGGGTGGCAGTGTCCTGGAGTGACTGGGGCCTGGGGTGCTGCTAGGAGGGAGCAGTTCAGGCTTGAGACTTAGATATTGTAGAAAACTTCAAACATGAAGGTGTACTGGTATAACCAAGTCTGGTCACAGGGAACTAGAGGTTTGGCTCAGCGATAGAATGCTGGACTTGAGCTTTAAAAAAGCCAAGCAAAAGCACAAAGTCTTGAGTTAAAGCCTCAGTACAGGAACACAAAGCCGAGGACAATGAAGATCTAGTGGCAAAATGAACTTGGGGAGGAGGGTGCTCTTTGACATTTTGTTCCCTGTGCTTCAAGGGTTTTCACAGAAGGGCATTAGGGCTATACAGTGGTCAGAGCTGCTGCTGCTGCTGATTTTTCTTGTTGGTTGTGGGCCTGAAGTCTGGGCCTGGGTGCTGTCCCTCAGCTCTTCAGCTCAAGGCTAGCACTCTACCCCTTGAACCACAGCGCCACTTCCGGCTTTTTTTCTGCTTATGTGGTGCTGAGGAATTGAACCCAGGGCCTCATTCATGCGAGGCAAGCGCTCTACCACGGAGCCACCTTCCCAGCTCGTGCTGCTGATTTTTGCTGGTATCAAAAGATTTTTTCCCCCCCTAATAACCTCAAGGTAAAAGTGGCCAAGAAGTTAGGAAGCTGATGAGAGTATAGATGTTAATTTTCTGGACCTAAGCGGGAGGCGGTGCTTAACTATGAAATGATGGAGTTGGACTGCCCACGTCAGAGCTGAGTGTGCAGTTATCACCACTTAGGGTTATGCTCTTTAGTAAGTAAGGGGGGCTGCTAGATCTGGGCCTCCATTTTGGTTTTATAATGGAAATAAAAGTATTTCTTAATTTGCCGGGCGCTGGTGGCGCGCGCCTGTAATCCTAGCTATTCAGGAGGCTGAGATCTGAGGATCGCAGTTCAAAGCCAGCCCGGGCAGGAGAGACTGTGAGACTCCTATCTCCAATAAACCACCAGAAAACCGGAAGTGGCGCTGTAGCTCAGGTGGTAGAGCGCTCGCCTTGAGCTGAAGAGCTGAGGGACGGCGCCCAGGCCCAGAGTTCAAGCCCCACGACCGACCAAAAAAAAAAAACTTATTTTAGCTTATTTTGTGGGTGGCATGAGATAATGCATTTAAGGTTTATAAAAGAGGACCTGATACATGTATGTATGTTAGCTCTCTCTATATTAGCTCCATAAGTTTTAGCTAAAAAAGTTCGTGAACTCCAGTGAGAAAAAAACAGTAATACTATGTATATATGTATATATATATATATATATATATATACACACACACATATATACGTATATATATATCTTTTCTAGTTTATAGTAGGTCTTCATTGGAGCTTGTATTTCCTAGTCAAAGCTTTCCTTTATTTACAGCTTAAAATTGTACAGCCAGGGCTGGGGAGGTGGTTCAGTGGTAGAGCGCTTGCCTTGCATGCATGAGGCCCTGGGTTCAATTCCTCTGCACCACATAAGCAAAAAGAAAAGAGCCGGAAGTGGTGCTGTGGCTCAAGGGGTAGAGCGCTAGCCTTGAGCTGAAGAGTTGAGGGACAGCGCCCAGGCCCAGAGTTCAGGCCCCACGACCGGACCCCAAAAAACAAACAAACAAAAAAAACAAAGCCAGTGTAAGCAGGAAAGTCTGAGACTTCAATTAACAACACCAGAAAACAGGTTGTGTTTTAAAGTGGCAGAACACTAACCTTGATGTGAAAGAGCTCAGGGACAGAGCCCAGGCCCAGAGTTCAAGCCCCATAACTGGGGGGAAAAAAACTATATCTATACTTCACTTACCTTACAGTAATGATATCAGATGGGTTGGGTGAATTTTGTAGGTTTTTTTGTAGGTTGTAGGGCTTGAACTCAGGGGAACTCTCTACCACTTGAGTCACAGCACCACTTCTGGCTTTCTGGTTAATTGGAGATAAGAGTCTCATGGACTTTCTTGTCCAGGCTGGCTTTGAACCGCAATTCTCAGATCTCAGCCTCCTGTGTACCTATGATTACAGGCGTGAGCCACTGGTGCCTGGCTTATATTCAAATTTTTTTTCTTTTTTCTTTTTGGTCGGTCGTGGGGCCTGAACTCTGGG